CCCCCCCTCCCTCCCTCCCTCCCTCCCTCCCCCTCCCTCCCTTCCTTCCTTCCTTCCTCCCTCCCTCTCTCTTTCTTCTTTCTCTACTTACACAGTCTCATGCAGCCCAGGCTGCCTCACACTCACTTTGTACCTGAGGAATATCTTGAACTTCTGATCCTCCTGCCTCCACCCTCAAGTGCTGAGATTTCAGGTGTGTGTCAGCACACTGCCCACATGGTGTTGGGGATGGACCCAAGGCTTTGCACTAGAAACTGAACCACCTCCCCAGCCCTGCCACTCTAGTGTGCAGGCCAGAGGCGTTAATGACAGTCACATTTATACAGCCGTAATTGTTGTTTACATGGCCTTGTCAGTTCCAGTCAAGGCCATCGCTCCTGCTCTGGTCTTAGAAGACTCTCTCTACAGGCCAGGCCTGGGCAAGGCAAGTTGAGGCCACGGTCTGCTCACAGGGTGGTGGAGCTGCTGAGCTGTTTAACTGAGGTGCACTAGGCCAAGATCCTCCTCAGCTGGCTGGGTTTCTTACCTGCAGGACGGGCTTGGCCCCATCTCTTGGATGTCTGTTCTTGTCCAGGGAGCCAGGGGACGGAGCAGACCTGGGGATAGCTGTCATCCTGAATTTCTGATGACCCCTTATGTGACCCGTTGTGACACCTGCACCAGTTCCCAGATGCAGCCCTAGCTGTGTGATCAGCCACACTGCCAGCCCCAGAGCTTTCTAGAAGGCACTTGCCCCAGCCCTTAGCCTTCAGGTACCGACACCTAAATGCTGTCAATGCTCTGTCTTTCCCTCCTGGGCCTTCCTGGCTTGGCAAACTTCCATGTGCACCATTCGCTCCTTTTCTAGAAAACAAACATACAAAAATGCACAAACTGTATAAGGACGGACACTTGCTGCCCTGTAGAGATAGCTAACATTTTGTTAGCTTCTCCGAAGTGCTTATTTGTTTTAGGAACTGCCTCCCTGATGCCTGGCCACCCCCAAATGTCTGGCAAGCTTGGGAGTGACCAGCCCACATCATCTCGATCTGGCCATGTCCAAGCAACTAGCTGCACTCGGCATGGATGTGCCGGCCGGAACGCCGGGCCACGAGGCCTGTGGTTCTGCAGTCACTTTGGTTCCCGGCAGATCATTTTCCTTATGTGGCCTGTTGTGGCACCTGTACTTTATTTCTGCTGGTGGTAAATTCCCCGACCCTGGGACATCTTCTAGCCTCCTTCAGAAGGTGGTCAGAGTGAGGCCTTTGTACCCCACAATCCAGGCTGCAACTCTTCCCAGACAGAAAGTTCAGTGATGGTGTACATGCCTCTCTAAGACCTTTGAGGGTAGGCGTTGGGCTGCTGTTTACTTTCAGGGTGCCGCTGGGGCCTGAAGATGGGAGATGGCAGGAGAAGGGGGGGGAGGATGAGGGTTCAATAAACTTGGAGTCACTCATCATTCTTGTCTCCCCTGTAGCCAAATACCCGGCCATCAAGGCCCTGATGCGGCCAGACCCCCACATCAAATGGACGGTGACGGGAATGGTGCTGGCGCAGTTACTGGCCTGCTGGCTGGTGCGGGGGCTCTCTTGGCGGTGGTTGTTCTTTTGGGCCTATGCCTTCGGTGGCTGCGTCAACCACTCACTGACACTGGCCATCCACGACATCTCGCACAATACTGCCTTTGGCACAAGCTGTTCCTACCGCAACCGTTGGTTTGGCATCTTTGCCAATCTGCCAATTGGCTTACCCTATGCCTCATCCTTCAAGAAGTACCACGTGGACCACCACCGTTACCTGGGTGGCGACGGGCTGGACGTGGACATTCCCACGAACTTTGAAGGCTGGTTCTTCTGCACTCCGGCCCGCAAAGTGCTCTGGCTGATACTGCAACCCTTCATCTACACTCTGCGGCCACTCTATGTGCACCCCAAGGCGATAACGCGGATGGAGATGCTCAACACCCTGGTGCAGATGGCAGTTGACATCACCATCTTTGCCCTCTGGGGGGTAAAGCCCATAGCCTACCTTATGGCCAGCTCCTTTCTGGGCTTGGGCCTGCACCCTATCTCTGGCCACTTCGTGGCCGAGCATTACATGTTCCTGAAGGGCCATGAGACTTATTCCTACTATGGGCCCCTCAACTGGATCACCTTCAATGTGGGCTACCACATGGAGCACCACGACTTCCCCAGCATCCCCGGTTGCTATCTGCCGCTGGTAAGTGCTCAACCTGGCATGGAAGCAGATATAGCAGGAGCGAGGAGAAGGCCTCCAGCTATTCCCAGCCTGCCTTATTTGTTTGTGTGTTGGCAATGGACCGGTCACTCACTTTTGGCTCCAGGGCATCAGGAAAGGCTGTACCACACAAGCCAGTGTCTGGCTGGAGATGGAGGAGGCAGATGGAGACAGGGCAGTTTTCCGGGCAGGTTCAGGTTAGTAGCTTAGGTTAGTGCACACCTGTTGGAACCCCACTAGTGGGCTCTGGAGTGTCTCTGATCAAGTGCATGCTCCATTTCAGCTTCCTTGTCGGTGTCAGTGGATACTGTGAGGTACCCTGCTTCCTAGCTCATGCTTGTTGGTGCTCATTTCTTGTCACAGCCTTGGACCAGCACAGACATACTGCTCCCAGCCTGGAGCTGGCCAGGCAGCACAGGCGTGGTCTTGTCCTTGCAACCTATGGGGACTGGCTGCAGCTACAGGCAAGGAAAGCTGAGAAGAGGGGAGGTGGAAGGGATGCAGGCTGAGACAGAGGGACAGGAGGCCTTGAATGCCAATGGCTGTTAAGTGTGCCAAGGGGCAGCAGTACGGGAGGGTACTCGGGAGTGTGTCACCCTCCGTGGGTGACCAGGTGTGTGTGTGCGCATTGCTGGGCGACTTTGGATTGGCCCAAGGCTGTACCCAAGCAACCTATGAAGCGTTCTCATCCCTCCACAGCTGTCACACTCAAATGTACATTTGAGATGAGGGCAGAGGCTAAGAGGGGACAGCACATCTCAGAAGTCAAGCTCGAGTCTCAGCTGAGGCCACCTCTGAAGGGGCAGCCTTCATGGAGCACTCACTGTAGGCGGGAGAGAAGGCTGCCTGCTGGGCCCATTTCAGATGTAGCAGTGCCTTCCCTGGGGAGGCGGGAGGGCGAGTGCCATAGCACTGTGGAGGTTCAGTGCGGCTGAAGCACTCCCTGGGGTAGGCGGCAGATGTGGCATATCATCAGGTCAGGGGTAAAGCTCAGAGCTGCAGAAGTGTGTTGGGTGAGGAAACGGTGAAAGCTGAGGCCCAGAGGCAGGAGATCATAGGATGCTGGGGTGAGGGTGTGACCCAAGGCCCATAGGCCTCAGAATTCTGCAGAGCACAGTGGGCCCACCTGGACCTCCCGGAGCGGAAAGTTGGTTCTGAGGTGGTGCGCTGGGCCTGCGTGCGCCCTTCCCGCTGCTCAGTGTCAGTGTGCACTCACAGTATATGTGTAGAGTACCAGCCAAGGTACAGTCTTGACGCTAACCCTCTCCACAGGTGCGGAAGATTGCACCTGAGTACTACGACCACCTGCCGCAGTACTACTCCTGGGTGAAGGTGCTCTGGGACTTTGTATTTGAGGACTCTCTGGGACCCTACTCCAGGGTTAAGCGCAAGTTTAAGCTGGCAAAGAACTGCCTGTGAGTCCTGCCGGCCAGCAGGGGCCAAGCACCATGACTCCATGCTGCTCCCGGTCCCATGGGCACAGAACTGGTCTGTCTACATCTCCTGTAGTCTGGATTGCTTCTCATCCTGTTGTGCCCAGCAACAGTGGATACAGGCTATGGTTGGAATAACCAGGCTTACCTGTTCTTTCTGGATCTTAGCTACGACTGAACAGGATACTCTGCACCTCTGGTCCCGTGGAGCTAGCTTCTCTGTTCCTGTGTCCCAGATTAAATCTAGTATTTGTCATAGTCTACGTGTTGTCCTTCTTTTGGGCAGAATGGAGTCTTGGCCTGAACCTGGTCTCTCAGAATGGGGCCTGAATCCAGGTGGATGGAGTCCAGCAGCCCTGTGTAGCTCCCTTTGGCAAGCCCCAGGCCTGAGTCTCATTCCCTTAGGCTCTTGAAGGCCTGAGGCTTCTGCTGCTATGGAGAAACCTCTAGATATGGGCATCAGAAGGTCCCTTCCTCCAAGCCATGGGACAGCTTCACTTTAGGTCCTCTGACCTATGAAACCATCATCCTGAGCTTGGCTAGGGCCAGGATGGCAGCATAAGATCCATATCCCTGGATAAGGTCAGGTCAGGCTGTCAGCATGGGGCTCACCTCTCCCCACCCTACATGGAACCAACTCCCAAGTCGGATGGCTGGCCAGCCTCTCTGCGTTTGAGTTGCGGTTGGGGAACAAATGCTCATGTGACTACACCTGATCCTAAGGAGCCGGACCAGAGCGGGTCCTGATGTCCAGAGCAGGTAGCAGCAGTGTGCTAAGAGGGGGTCCCTTGGCAGAGGGAAAAGAGTAGGTCCAGACTATAGCCTGGGCTTGACCAAGGACCTCACCAAAAAGGAGGCCATGGACAGAGGGTATACCATTGCCCCATGCCTGGGAGTGGCCCCTGAGTTCCGGAAACAGGCGTCCCTGTATAGCGACTGTTGAGATGACTTGGAAGGCCTGGTCGCAGAACTTTTTCTGAGACTGGAGGACTCTGAGCCAGGGCAGGTGGCCCCTCCCTGTGCACAAAGATGAATGCAGGCACTGGGGAATCCCAATGAGCCCAGCTGCACCCCACTCTCCTGGTTGTGCCTCACTGCATGAGCCTACTTCCTGCAGACAGTGCCATAGGCTGTGTTGGGGCCTCCTCTCGTGTCAGAGGCTAGTCTGGGTCTAACTGTACCTCCGAGGGTGCTGTGTGAGGAGGCTGGAGGGCTGCAGCAATGTTCTTAGGAATGTGGACCGTGCTGCCTTGGCCAAGTTGCCTAAGCTGTGAAGTTTATCTCCTCATAGGCCCAACAACTGCATTCCCAGCTTTTAGGATGGTTGGAAATGAGGCGCCATGGACCTCACCCCATCCCCTCCTACCTAGCTCTCAGCACCGAGCACACCAGTAGGCTCTATGGTCATGGAAGGTTACAAGGTCCCCATGGCTAGTCTCCTGGCGATATTGACATGGCCCTTCACACCAAGAGTCAGAGCATCCCTGGAACCACAATGAAGATTCAGTGCTGAGACCCTTCATTAAGTGGCCATGGATTGTTTCTGGCAATGCCAAAGGGATCAGGGACTTTGCATGCGGGAAAGCTTCCTCTCACCTCCCGGTGCCCCAGGGCCACTTCTGGCACTTGACAGATTGCACGTGGAGTTGTCTTGGGTCCAGGGAATGTGTTGCACTCAGAGCCCACCTACCTTGTGATCCTGGGGCCATATGGCTCCCCCAGGCAGGACCTGAGGCTCAGTTCCACAAGTAGGAGGCGCAGGGTAGCTTGGTTACGCTCCTGGGTCCTGGGGATGTTCTGGTGCAGCCCAGCTGCTCTGAGGCCCCTTTATCCCATTAGTCCTGCATGCTCTGGCCTGGGCACTCCTTGTAAAAGGGCATTCCACCAGGGCAGCCAGGGGCTGGTGCACAAGAGAAAGCCAGAAACTGAGTGTGGACAGTGAACGGTTTATTATCATGTGGACATAACACGCACTGCGTGGACATACGAACACCATGGCCGCTGGGGCTGAGCTGTATTCTGACAGCTCTGTGGCATGGAAAGGCCACACCGTACCCAGCTGCTCACTGCCAGCTGAGGTGCCAACAGTGTCACCTAGGAGAAAATGTGGAAGCCATCTAATAAAGCAGGTGATTTGGGGGTGTTCTCTCTAGAAACCAAAAAAATGTACACTTAAATAAGCAGATATAAAATACAAAAAAAGAATAGTGTGTCAGGTACACTAAAAAATCCAGGAGTTGAAGATTGTTTCCTCATTTAATATTGTGTCACAGGTTGAGACTTAAGCACATCCCAGCTTCTGCAGGCTCGCTGTTCGCTGGGGCCAGCGTGGCTCCTCACGATCCTCCAGGGCTGGCGTCATCTTACGTGGTGCTGATCCCACTTAGTTCCTGCCTGATGGCTAAGGGCAGGACAGGAGAGGGGGCTCAGTGGGGCAGAGAAGCACCCTGCTCAGGCCTCCAGGAGACCACAGATGGGATAGAGGCCTACCAGCATGGTAGCTCTGACATAGACCTTTGGGGAGACAACCCAGCCCTCATGGGCTTTTGCCCCTAATGATGAGACTTAAAAATGCCAAAGACCATGGCTCGCCTTTGCACTGCCTCAGGCTACTGAGGAACCCAGGGTCTTCCTCGAGTCTGACAGGTGAGCACCCACAACATCTGCTAAGAGGCCCTTGGGTCCCTCCTCACACAGATTGGAGGCTGGCTCCAGCCTGCCGGGTGCATGTGGTATAGCAGAGCTGTGGACTGTGCTGGTGCCATGGCCTAGACTTTCTCCTCCAGGGCTGGCTCTGTTCTGTGTGCTTGAGCACCCATTGAGCCTTCCCAAACTCTCCTCTTCCTGTTTCTCCCCCTGGTCTGGACTCCTTTCTCTTAGCTCCCACAGTCTCCCCGAGCCCGGCATAGGCCTGTGGTATCCTCAACAGTGGACAGACCTGGCTGGAACCAACAGCTAGAGGAGGGTGACCATTAATTAACAGGCTCTTAGTGTGGGCCGACATGAGGATGGCAAGCAGCGACTGAAGCAGGCTCTTAACACACTCTGTCTCTTCCCAGGCAGCTCTTGTGAGGACAGCTTGGCTGTGCTCAGGGTTTCCGACCCAGCTATTTCCGCAAGGCCAGGACTGTGAGGCAGCAGTGAGACAGTCAGCTGTTTCTTCGCTGTGCCATCTCTTTCCTGCATTCATGAACACTCTCCCAGACTTGTCCTCTGGTGGGACTGGACAGACAGGAATTGTGTTCTCTGTGGCCAAGGGTTGTAGCTATCGCTGGCTACTGGTTGTAGCTACTGGCTGCTATTGGCTGCCAGGTCCCCACAGTACCTCTGAGTACATCTTCCCTATGGGAGCCTGCCATAGCTGCCCCTATGGCTTCATAGGCCTTTCTAACTTCGGTCACTGCCAAAAGCCTGGGAACAAGTGATAGGTAGGACAGCAGGTGGGGCATGGGTGCAGGCTGTGCTGTTTGGTTCTGTGCTGTTCTAGCCTAAGTCAGGCCCTCAATGGCTCTGGTGGGGACATATGTGATATGAGGGTCACAGTCTCACTTTTTGGAGCCAGGGGCTCTTTTGGGAGGGAACACCATGTCTGCTCCCTACACAGGGTCATGCAAATTGTAAAGCTCAGGTACCCTCCTGAGGCAGCAGTGGCAGGAGGATTGGACAGGCAACAGACGTGAACAGGAAAGGACAGAAACCTGGGTTGTCTCCAGGCCTACCCTCTCCTTATAGGTGATCTTCTGGGAGGAAGCTGAGGCAAGGGAGATCTTAGATACAGAAAGCCACACCCCAGGGAGCTGTGCTTTCTTGGAAAGCCACTTCACTTCTCTGCACCTCAGTTTCCACAACTACAAACTCGGGTGAATGTGGGACGCTGGAGGGATAATGTGCTCATCTCTGGCCGGAGCAGCCCCACTCACCATCAATGATCTCCTCCTTTACCTTGTGGAGCTCTCGAACCACCTCCTCCAGGATCTCCTGCTGGGCAGAGTCTCAGAGTGAAGGGACAGACGATGGCTCCAGGGGCTGTGCTGCAGGGGTCTTTCCCTCAGCCAGGCCCTGGACAAACTCTGCTCTAACCACCCCTCAGTTCATGATAGCTGCCCACAGGGAGGGGCCCCAGAAGCAGGCTGCGGATGCCCAGGCACTCCGTCTTTCTCCACTGGCCAGGCGCCTGCCTTTGTGGCAGTCAAGCATGGAACCCACTGGCTAGAGATAGTCCCCAGGCTGCTGGCTGGACTGGCTCTCACCTGTTTCATCCGATCCAAATCTAAAGCATCCAGGCCCACGTCATTCACACTCCCTGCAGGCTTCACCCTGGAAGAACGGGCAGGTGTGGGGAAGCAATTGCCAGGGTCTGTGGGCACTCATGGTGGGGAAGCCTGTCGCGTTAGGGTGCTCTTCTCAGGGTTCACGTGCCACTTGCTGCCTAGCCCTTCTGCTCTACTTAACCTAGGGCTGCTGCGAAAGGATGAGAATCCTACCCCCCACAGGATCCCACCATCAGAGCCGTCTTCTGCTTGAAAGGCCTATGCAGAGGGGGCAACTGAGGCAGCTTGAACTAGCGCCCCCGCCTCTCTAGAGATGGACAGAACTGATCATGTCTTCCTCCACATGGAGCTTGTGTTCCCAGCTGCACTCTGGTTGGTGAAACCCAACAATGGTGGCAATGAAATTATAGTTAGCTCCATGTTGGGGGTACTACATCCCCAAGCTAGCACTTCTTGGGTGGGAAGCGGCTTGCCTACTTCGCTCTTTCAGAAACATCCTAGGATGTGGCTTTGCTCTTTGGGGCAGTCATTCTTTCCTGGTTATACTTTGAACAGGTTCTGACTGAGATCACTCATCTGAACTTCAATGCCTCTTGCGCAGGCACTCTCCCCAGATACTCACTAGCCACAATGTGACTCTAACTCCAGGGTCTTTCAGAACATGGTGGAGGGGCTAAAGGCAGATACAGTCTGGACCCAATTCTCTGCCCATGTGGAGATATGGCTCCAGGGAAGGGACATGGCTGGAACCAGGTAGGGAGACTGGGAGGCGATGGAATTCAAATGTCCACGTATGGGGTTGGCTTAGTGTGAGGGATCGTGCTTAGAGAGTGAGGGTCACTGATCTCCAAAGTTTGTGACAACAGGGTGAAAAATGAAGTGTGCATGCATCTGTTGCGCATGAGCAGATGTTAATTGTGGTGCTGAACAGGTCTACCAGGAATTCTGGGTCCTGGTAGGAAAATAGACCCAAGCTTCAGGCCCTTC